CAATCTAGTTAGTGGAATGATGGATGAAACAATTGTATTGTTTATCTTACTCTTTTTTAGATAGGTTGTGTTGTATCACATTCGAATTTTATATTGATTCCAAAATTTATAATGAAATTATCAATTTTTATGCAATTTCAAAATGTGTTTACAAAGTGTTAATTTTAATTTTGTGAGCTAATTACTCAATTCCCATAACTGTAATAAAAAAAAAAAGTCTACCGCAACATTTAAAAAAAACTGTAAAAGGGTTCACCGCAACGTTTAAAAAACGCTGCAAAAGAGTTTTTCGCAACATTTAAAAAACGCTGCAAAAGGGTCTACCGCAACGTTTTTTAAATGCTACAAAAGGGTCTTACACAACGTTTAAAAAACGTTGCAAAAGAGTTTTTCGCAACGGTGAATAAACGCTGCAAAAAGTCTTCCCTCAAAGGTAACACCGACATCCGCAACACTTGGAAAAACGCTGCAAAAGGTCTTTTGCAGAGTTTTTTGGCCGTTGCAAAAGCCCTTTTTTGGTGTAGTGAATTCAAGAAAGACAATGCTTTGAGGGTGAGAGCCAAGTGTAAGGGAGACTTTCCCTGGGTGTTGTATGCCACTAAGGAGCACAAACTGACAAACTTGGTGATCAAATCATATGTTGACGAGCATACATGCCCCATGGTGTACAAGAATTTTAGAGTAAGCTCTACTTATTTAGCAGATAGATACTTATCTGATTGGAGGTCTGTACCAAATATGTCGATGAGCACATTCATGGAGAGGGTCAAAAGGGATGGTTTGTGTGATATATCACATTGGCAAGTGTATAGAACGAAGGAGAAAGCACTTAAAAAGATAAGGGGATTGTGGTGGACCATTACAAAGTAATGTGGGATTACTGTGAGGAGTTGAAGCGAACAAATAGTGGGACCACTACTTTCGTTGAGGGTGTTGCTGGAGAATTCAGACGTTTGTATATTTGCCTTGGAGCTTTGAAGAAGGGTTTCAGTAGGGGGTGTAGAAGAAGTACAGAAGGTGTTCGCAACAGGAAATCCCCTCTGAGACAACTTCAACGAGCATGTCTAGTGCAGGGAAGAGAGCAGCCCAAACTCAGACAAGTCGAAAATGCGGTGAACCAGGGCACAATAGGAGGAGCTGTAAAGGGGCGCCACCACCACCACCAGGCAATTAGGAACACATTTTCTGCGTTAATATGTTTTCTGTCTACAACTTCTTCTTTTTTGGGATTTGGCAGTTTTTGCAAAGGAAGTGGTTGAATTGTAAATGCTTAATTCTATTCAGTTTAGCCTAAACTGGTGTGTCTAAAGTCTGCCAATTGTATATCCAGTTTTTTTGTTCAGTTTTTTTTGTTTGTTAAATACCGTTTCTGCTTTAAATTTATAGTTTGATCTATTTGTTCAGTTTGCCATGGTTGATTGGTGTTTGAGTTGCTGCAGTTGATTTCGGTGTATGTGTTGCTGTGAATGGATGAAGCTTACATGATATAGCATGGACATTTTTCACAGATTCTTCAAACGTAGGGACGTTATGTGCAACACATGTCTAAACATAGGGACGTTATCTGAATAAATTGTCAAACGTAGGGACGTTATACGCACTATATGTTTTAACGTTGGGATGTTTTAAGCAAAATGTTTTGTAACGTAGGGACTTTTTCACATGTTCAGATTTGGGGAAAAACAAATTGACAGCTTCTTGTTCTGATGCGCACATTTCTGGGACTACAGACGAACAACGATTTCGGCCAAAAGTATTGTGCTTTACTAAAAAAACCATGTTTAGAAGAACCTGTTTATTACTCCATATACGTGGATTGCATCCAAGAATATGTGGAAGAACCGACACAGAAGAGATGAAGAATTTGGTGAATTCTACTGTGATGCGTTGAGTTTGAGAAGTTTCAAATTCAGATAATTTGAAAAGACAGGAATTTGGTGAATTCTATTGGACGTGATAAGCTTGAAATTTAGATAATTTGACAATGCCTGGAATTTGGAAATTCAGTCCCTTTGTTGCTGTTGTTCCTGAGTACACACGACCCTTGGGTGATGGTGGGAAGAGGTTTGTAAAGTGGCCTGACTATTTTACCCTTGGAGTTTCAAATTTAAAGGAGTCCAGGTAAGCATTTAACAGGAAATCGGTATATGGATGGAAGGACGTTTTCCACACTAAAACGTTGAAATAAGGGCAAAAATGTAAAAAATTAAAACGCATGGACGGTTTGCACACTAACTATGAAGCGTAGGGATGTTTTGTGCTAATAAGCCATTTTTCTGTTCAAATTATTTTGTTCCCTATCTTCTTTTACCCAATTTGTTGCAAATTCTCGTTGCTAGGGTCAATTCGGTATAAAAAGAGAGATCCTCTTTTGCAAATGAGATATTCTGCACAATTATATGTTTGGCTTTTTTTAAAGGTGATTGAAAAATTTTGTACTTGAAGATTTGTGGGGTGATTATATCACTTGATTACTATAACTTGGATCCATTTCATTAACAAACGTAAAGTTCTCTTCCTTTTTGTTCTTAACTTCTATTTTTAGCCTATACATCCGATCTTCAAATTACTTTTGTTTCTGGCAGTTTAAGCCATGTTTGAACTTTACGACTCAATGGAAGAGGCAACAAAGTGGGATCTTGTTGGTTGCAAAACATTAGACACATTAAAGCAAGTAATAGGCTAACCAATACTCAACCAACCAACAAATGTTGCTCAAGTGATATCTATCCTTGAAGCAGAACTTTAGCAGGCTCGATCCAGAATGAACAAACTTCAGCAATGGGAGTTGGTGTCTCGACATCTGGTGCAACGGGGAATGCTTCTGGCGTGAGAATAGTAGTCACCGGGGATGCGAAGACGAGGAAATCGAGCTTCATAGTTACGGTTGCAGTGGAAAATTGTCCAACCAATGTTCCTCCGATGGTGCCACCTACAAGGCTGCCATTATTGATAATTATTCCAGGTCCTCAATTTCCTAATATATTTCTTTGTGCTTTTAATCCCAATTACAAATTCCTTTATTTCTACAGCTTTACACAGCACATAGTGAATGTGCTTGGGCAACTAAGTGAATTTGAGCTTTTATTCTTCTTATTATTTTGTTGCTTGTTTCTACTTCACTATATTGTGATTTTAACCTTTTTTCTTATTTTCTTCTGTATAAAAGGATCGTTTCACGATTAAATGTTACCTGAACACATAGATCTATAGGTACCTATTCATATATGTATACAAATGCATGTGGTTATTAATTAATAAATAAATATGCAAGTATACTCTACATTCTAGCATATGCATCTACCAATCAGCGTATCACTTAGCGCACATATCGTTCATTAATCCTTAACATTGAAGACGCTAACATTACCTTCAAAATAACACAACTCCTCATTGAACGGGTAGAAAACTTGTATATATAAAATATCCAACAAAGTACGTGGAAATGTACTTTACATGTTATTGTTATTTTAGAGGGATAACAAATTTTGTTGAAAACAACATTCTCAACCTTAAAAGGCTCCACTAGACAACTGCTAATTATTTATGGTAGAAGATCTAATTAGATTGCTAAAGATGTAACGTTTGTTGTAAACCACGTGTTAGTAATGGACTTTGTTAGGTATTGTAATCTCACAACTTGTAACTCGGACCTTCATAATGCGGTTTTAGCTTTGATCTAAATAAAAATAAAAATAAAAAAATGTTGATGATGTTGAAATTTACTTAAAGCGTCGTGTTATAATAGTAGTTGTTGGTTAGTTTATTCAGTCGTACCAATTCAACCCAAACAGTCAAGTAAGTTATTGTAGTTGTGATGAAATCCAACATAATTTCAGGGAGCTTTATTTATGAAGACACAAGTTCGTTAGTGTTTTGCGAAGTCTCTGAAATATTCTCAATTATTTTGTTTTAAATGTCTAACACGTTTTTGTAACGTTAGTAAGCATCATCCTACTAGAACATAAATCCTCGTAGGTTGTGTTGCCCAACTTACCGAGTTTAGAGCATGGTGTCGTGCTAGTGCTAGTTTGTGTATACTAATACTGTTGGGTTTTTTGATACCCAATAAATTCAGGCGATGATAAAAACAGTTGTCGAATATTTATCAACACCATAAACTTGGCTGGACTTGGAAACGACCTATACGTTTGGATGGCACAAGTTTGGGTTGGATGGCAATAGGTATTAGCCCATTTAGTTGGTGATCCATTTAATGTCTTTGTCCCATTTTGGAGAGGAGTGTTTGGGCCAAGTGAGTAACTTAATTGTGCCCTATATATTTCCATGTACCAGCCATGTGTAAGGGCGTGAGTAGTGCAATAAAGAGAAGAAAAAGAGACAAAGGCAGCCGGCCATTTTGGAGATAAAATTGAGAGCCTTGCTTGATTATTGATATCTTTTTCCTTCTCTTCCTTTGCGATATTGCATACCACCATCATTAGAGTCTCCTTTGTGGAGTGAAACTTGCGGCAACCGGGTGTATGAAGTTTTGGGTCGAGCTTGCGCATGTGGTGTCGATTTTGGTTGTTTCTGAGCCCGGGAATTGAAGTTTGGAGCACCAATATTCAACAAATACAATTAACTTGGACTTTTGTGATTGACTTGGGAGCCTTGTTGATCTCTCTTAGCACGAGTGTTGATTTTCATCTTTTATAAAATGAGTTGTCACCTTTCAACTTGAAACGCAACAAATGCGACGACCTATTATGTGCTATCTAGAAGAACCGTGCTACTTGGTCAGGGCCACACGTTATCCTATCAAGAAAGTGGGTCGGGCACATGTTTGATTGGAAAGCCTAGTGGAATATCAAATATTGATCAAATCTGAAAAAAAAAAAAAAAATTAAGAAGGCTTCAGACCTTAGAATATTCTCACGAAATCAAGATTAGCCGGCAAGCCGGACGTGACCGCCCCTGAGCTCGGATCGTAGGACCGAAATTGTCATTTTTGCTTCCATTTAGTATTATAATTTAATGGATCAATCAATTATTAGAGGATTGGTCCACAGACAGGCTACCATTGTTTTACAATGTGCTGTCGCAATCAATACAGCTTCATCAATCTGTCATTTTTGATAAAATGGTTAGGTTTTGTGTTCATCATCTCCTTTCTACGACTTCAGAGAAGTTTAAACATGAGTAAAAGTTATTTTTAATTTTTCTTATAAATATAATTTTGAAGTTACTTTTTTCAGACTGTAAATCGTAAGTATACGACTTTTAAGCTCAGCCAAACTAGAACTTTCATAACTGATTTCAAGTTACAGTAAATTAATAGTTAATATCAAATATTATAAAATAGAATAATAATAAATAAATAAATAATCAATTTTGGAGGGGGAAAATGTTGCATTTTAAATCTTGAATTATATGTATTATTTTCCAGCTCATGCATTATGGACTCCATTCAGCAATGAAATGAGTGAATTTGGAGTCTTTCATTTTTGGGCTTACAATTATTTTTGTGGATAAAACGTCCAGATTAATATATAGAAATACTTTATTTCATACGAAAAGTCGAAGCTTTTGAAGCAATAATTGGCTTATTTTTAATCATTTGCCGTCCATCAATTTTTGAATTATCAATAGTTCATTGACTCCCAATGAAAGCAGCACGTTTGGATACTTTATTTGAAGGTTTTGTCTTTCTATGCTCGAATAGTTGACGGTTCGGTTTTTAGTCTTTTTAAAATCTTTTATTTTTATTTTATTTTCTAATTAATAGTAGAGGTTCTTGTCTAATCTCAATGTTAGGTATCTATCGCTACGAAGTACATATTTTATTCTCTTATCAACACAAATTATGTGAAAGACATCCTTAACTATTGGACGCAGTGATTTGGGAATATGTAAACCTAAGGTTTTTAATTTAGGTAAAGTGAACATTTTGGTCCTCGATCGTTCATATGTAGCGTCTATGTTTGGAACTGCAGAAGAGATGTACAATTCATTTGATTGTTAAAAAAACGACTTTTATTAAAAACTTATAGTTAAATAAAATAAAAAGAAAAAGAAAAGAATTCGGGAATGATTAAAATCCAATTAAAATTGAAAATATGGTCGTTATTGGGTCTCACCCATCTAATAAAAGTCAACAATAACGGCTATATTTTCAATTTTAATCTGATTTTAATCCCTCCCAAACAAGCTCTTACTATGTGTATGTGTACTAGTTGCTCTTCGTTACACAACATAGCTTGTGAACTCGAAAGATCAATTCTTTCTATCCAATCCAACACAATTGGAAGGTATATTGACAAATCACTTAAGCATGGTGGTTGTTGATGATGGGCTGGATAAAGTTAGTTGTAGTGAGATGTGGGTATTTTACATGTAGACACAAACATTGAGAGAGGAAGAGTGTGAGCTATGGACACATTTATGATTAGGAAGGTTAGTGGATGACTGCAAGCAGACGATGATTTTATTTTTATTTTTCCTTTTTCATTCTCTTATTTCTTTTCCGTTTTATTTTTCATTAAAATAAGGCTATAATTTGATTTTCTAATGGTTGACTGACAATTTTCATTCACTAGATATCCATATACTGAAATGGTGAAAAGTTGGGGACTCAAAGGGTAGGAATGAGGATGAAAACCTAAATATTCATTTTTTTTTTTTTTTTGTAAAGATTGAGACTTGGCGTAATTGCTTATGAACACGGGAGTTTGCCAGACAATTTGATAGAATGTCAGGTGGCAACACGGTATTGGACAGTTTAAATCTATTTTTGTTCAATATTCAATGCAGTTTAAATCTATTTTTGTCCAGTTTTTTTTGTCAGTTTAACATTATGGCATTATCTCCAACTCCTTTGTACAAGTGTATTAAGTGTTTAACATAATACAAGAAAAAAATATTAAACTAAACAAACATGAATCAAAAATAATATTTCTTTTTCTTCGAATCGCTCTTATTGTCAAATTTTGGACGGCAGATCTCATATTTGACAAATATTAAAAAATTGTTAATTTATTATAGACACCTAATATTAATCATGTATGTGTCCTGGTAAGCTTGTCCCAGATGCATACTCAATCTCAATGTCTCAATCCACGTAATGTCGTGTTAAATCAACATATTATTGTTTTTTTATTTTTCTTTTTCATTCTCTTATTTCTTTTTCCCTTTTATTTTTCATTAAAATAAGGCTATAATTTGATCTTCTAATGGTTAACTGACAATTTCCATTCACTAGATATCCATGGTGAAAAGTTGGGGATTCAAAGGGAGGAATGAGGATGAAAACCTAAATATTCATTTTTTTTTTTTTTTTTTTTTGTAAAGATTGAGACTTGGCGTAATTGCTAATGAACGCGGGAGTTTGCAACAGTTTGATAGAATGTCAAGTGGCAGCACAGTATTGCACAGTTTAAATCTATTTTTGTCCAATATTTTTGGTCAGTTTAACTAACTCCTTTGTACAAGTGTATTAAGAGCTTGTTTGGGAGAGATTTTTAGGGGAAGAATTGATTTTGAATAGTGATATGATGGGAAATGTGTGGTTGAAAAAGAAGAAAAAATTATTAATGGGATGGAAAATATTATTTTATTAAAAAATGTGTGATTGAAAATGAGAATTGATTTACTGTAGGAAAATTTAATCCCTCCCAAACAGAGCCTAAATGTTTTAACATACTACAAGCAAAAAATATTAAAGTAAACAAACATGAATCAAAAATAATATTTCTTTTTCTTCGATTTCCTCTTATTGTCAAATTTTGGACGGCAGATCTCATATTTGAAAAATATTTTTAAAATTGTTAATTTATTATAGACGCCTAATATTAATCGTGTGAGCCATGACGTGTCCTGGTATGCTTGTCCCAGATGCATACTCATCTCAATGTCTCAATCCACGTAATCTCGGTTAAATTAACATATTATTGTTTTTTAGTTTTATTCTAAAGTTGCAATTTCTTTTCATCTAATATATAATAGACGAGTAACAGAATCAGTAAGCAGAAGTGAGAACAAATGGGGAATGCCTTTTGCCGATAAAAAGTGAAAAGACCCTTTTGAATCCATTTAAGGCCGATTTCACTATGAAAGTAGCTTTTCACAGATTCAGGTGAGTTATCCGATTCATGATTTTTCCTGGATTGTATTTAACACAAAACTGAATTTCTGGTTGCAATTCTTGAATTTTTTGTTGCTCTTATATCAATATATGCAGTTTGTCTTTTTAAGGTTATATTTTTCTATTACAAGTTATTTCTGACTCAAATTTGTGCAGATGTGATAGTTTATACTTTTATTGAGGTCTGGAGATGAAGAATGGTGTATGGGTCTTGAATTGCTATTTGATTTTGCAAGTTTCTAATTCAGGTAGTTTCCACATTGGATCTGACTAATGATGTACACAATACTCGAATTTTCCACAAGAGAATGAACTAAAACAGAGCAGATTTTTCTGGGATATTGATGTGCGAAATCCTTCAAGGAAAAGATTCGTTCTCTTCGTAAAAATAGGAGGTAGAACCACTAAAGATTATTTTTCTGTTATGTTGGCTCATTCAAGATTTGTTTTTGATCAAGTCGCTAGGAATCAATAGAAAAAGAGAAATCGCCCATTGTTCCTCGACTGTGGATCCTCCCAATATTCCTACATTAGGGTGCCGGTTTTTGGTGTGTGAGAAAAACCTTATACCTATTTCCGTACTCTTGTTCTCATTACTGGCAAATTTTGCAGCATCTGATGAACATAATGTGAATTTGTGTGTTGGCTTGTTTTTTGAACTTCTTTCTGTTTATTATTGCTCTTGCGAGAAGGGATTGTGGGTTAGTCCTTAACTGTTGATTGTACATAATTTTATTGTATGTGCTAAAGACAAACTTAATTTTCATGAGTTCTGCTATATAATAGTTTCTTATTTCAGAGCATTGCTAACGGGGTGAGAATCTGCTGTAGAACACAGATGTTCCAAGGTTGCAAAGGTTCTGAAATCTTGCAGAAGTAAAAGGTTTGGAATTTCATTTAGTTGTGTAAACATGAGTATGGCTCCTACTGTAAAAGTGGTTCTTGGGTCAATTGCCTTTGCTATATTCTGGGTTTTGGCAGTTTTCCCGGCTGTCCCATTCATGCCCATTGGGAGGATTGCTGGGTCTCTCCTTGGGGCTATGCTTATGGTCATTTTTCGAGTCATAACACCAGATCAAGCATATGCGGCTATTGACCTTCCAATCCTTGGTCTTCTTTTTGGGACAATGGTAGTCAGTGTCTATCTTGAAAGAGCTGATATGTTTGTGTACTTGGGTAAATTGCTCTCCTGGAAAAGCAAGGGAGCAAAGGACTTACTTTGTCGAATCTGCTTCATTTCTGCCATTTCCAGTGCCTTTTTCACTAATGACACTTCCTGTGTTGTTTTGACTGAATTTATACTCAAAATTGCTCGGCAGCAGAATCTCCCTCCTCACCCGTTCCTATTAGCCCTTGCCTCGAGTGCAAATATCGGGTCATCGGCAACCCCTATTGGCAATCCTCAAAACTTAGTTATAGCTGTTCTGAGTAAGATTTCTTTTGGGAAATTTTTGTTTGGTATTTTCCCAGCAATGCTTGTAGGAGTATTTGTCAATTCTTTGATCCTGCTCTGTATGTATTGGAAGTTGTTATCTGTTCATAAGGATGAAGAAGATGCCACTATGGAAGTGGTTGCTGAAGAAGACATAACCTCACATCGTTTTTCTCCAGCAACGTTGTCTCACCTCACATCTTCAAATTCTGGAGAATGGAATTCCGGACTGGAATCTATGAATGTTTACAGCTCTCCTAATCCCAATGGCTCTACAAATCATAGTGAGACTCTTAGAAACCGAGGAAATTCGATTGATAGTGATAGTATTCATGGCTCTCGTAATGAAAATAGTTATACAAATCATGTTGAGACACTCGGGAATGGTGAGAATCCAATTATAAGTGAAATCCAGAAGGTCCCTAGTTTGCAATCTGAATCCGTTGGGCATTCAAAGTCTTGGAAAGAAATGGCAAATGATGGATTTATGTCTTCAAAATGTATTCCATCTTTGAAGAGTAGTGAATATGGAAGCTCAGAATTGCCGGAAAAGTGGAAAAGAATTTTGTGGAAGGCGTGCGTTTATCTTGTTACCATAGGAATGCTAGTTGCTTTGCTGCTTGGTCTGAATATGTCGTGGACTGCAATTACAGCTGCACTTGCCCTAGTTGTTCTCGATTTTAAAGATGCCCGACCGTGTATAGAAAAGGTGACACTGATTTAATAATTTCTCTTGTTAAGTTGGATTAGATAGTACTGGACAATACTAAAAAAAGAAGATAAAATATTGTCTATTATAAAATAAAAATAAAAATTGTCCATTACAATCTTAATACTTCATGCCAAACTTGCATTGGCAGTATATTAATGAGATTAGGCATAATATTAGGAAAAGGTTATTGATTCTTTTTTTTTTCTAAATCATCCAGGTATCCTATTCGCTCTTGATATTCTTCTGCGGTATGTTTATTACAGTCGATGGCTTCAACAGAACTGGAGTTCCTAGCACTCTGTGGGATTTCATGGAGCCTTATACAAAGATAGATCATATTGGAGGAATGGCTGTTTTAGCTGCTGTCTTAATCGTGCTCTCAAATTTGGCATCAAATGTTCCTACAGGTATGTCAAATGTACCCTACTTCCTGTCGAACGCTCAAACTTGAAAGTCTTCTTGGATAGATTACTTATTTGGACCTATGATGCACCGATACAGACACGTGTGTCCGACACGATACGTGTCGTATCATTTTTAAAAAAAATACAAACACGACACGTTGATTAAATCCATAAAAATTCTTCATTTATATAGTAAATTTAGTTTTATATTTGTTATTAATTTTTCTTGTTGAAATCTTTTAAACATAAGTACCTATTTGTTACTTGCTAATAACTTTGAATTAACAATATATAATATATATAATATAAAAAGAAAAATGATTACGGTTGAGTGTCCGAGAAGTGTCGGTATCGACTCGTGTCCGACACGGACACGCTACCCTAATTGAAGTGTTTGTGCTACGGAGATTTGGACGATTCAAGTGACATTGGACCAAGCATATTGCCAAGTGGGAAAATATGTTATACCGTTGCTACTCGGGGTAAATTAACATAACAAAATTTTGTATTTGGAAGCTGTATTTAAAAGCTTCCTTTCCCCAATTGTAATGATGGCACAGCCTTTCCTGGGATTACAAACCACGCAAGGCGGGCAATGCTGTTCTAATTTCACTACCTAATGGAGTAGCTTGATGACCATTTTTAAATAAAGGAATTCATTCACCCTTTCCATCGGCTAGGAACAGATGTTTGGATTTGTCATGCTTCATAAAGAAGGAAACAGAAAATATTAGCACTTCAAAGCGTACAGCTATCTCCCAGCCTGCCTCTGCTCCCTATGACATAGATGAAGAATTGAGTCCAGAAGGAATTCATAGTAGAAATGGGCATGCTTGACATAACCTAAAGAGCTTGGGAATTCAAATTGGAAGTTGATCCCAAAATATTTCTTATAATCACATGTTGCTCCTATTGAATCTGTTTGTATATCACACAAGCTTCCATTAAATACTAAAATATTTAAAATATTTCACGTCATGACATGTATTTCTTTAACCTTAATGGAATGTACTAGGAAACTCGCAAAAGCAATATATGTACCCAGTATATAGTGAATTAACACTACTTCTACTTGTATAGTCAAGTAAATATAATTGTGAGTTGCTTTCACTTTCAGTTCTACTGCTTGGAGCACGAGTGGCAGCTTCTGCAGCTGCAATATCTCCTGCTAGTGAGAAGAAAGCATGGCTCATCTTAGCTTGGGTGAGCACAGTTGCAGGGAATCTCTCTCTCTTGGGATCGGCTGCCAACTTAATAGTGTGTGAACAGGCTCGTCGGGCTCACTATGGCTACAATTTATCATTCTGGAATCACCTCAAATTTGGAGTTCCCTCCACTATTATTGTAACAGCTATTGGTTTGATTTTGATAAGATGATGACACCCTGTGTTCAGTCTGAGGTTCTCTCTTGTAAATTCAATAATACTGAGAATACTACATGTTTTCTTCTCAAGTGTATGTTCAATACAGGGTACTATATGGGATTATGATTGTTTCAATGAGTTTTGAGTTGGCGATTGGAAAAGCTTATGAGGATAACTGTTCCATTGGCCACGGACCGAATTGGTTTCAAGGGGAACTAGTTGGTTCTTTATCTACTGTAGGAATCAAATTGGACCAGGATCGGCATTAACAGAAACTTGATCAACCGAACTTGAATTCCATGGCTATAGGATGAACTACAAACTATTAAATCAACGCGAAGATGAATCAATGCTATAAACATGGATTTGAATTGTAGTGTACATAGCATATACTTGATTTGCATTTCTTGAAATACATGCATCTATCTATAACAATAAAATTAGTTCCATGTATCTTACTGTAAAATTAGAACACAAAAGTAAAATTCCAAAAATAAGTTCCAGAATTTCAGATAAAAGTAAATGATCATGGTGCCATAGCATAACTACAACAAAAAAGAGAGCTCAAATTTAAGTTTTTTTTTTTACCCTTGGGGGTGTGGGGGATGCATTAGTAAAGCACGAAATTTCCCAATCAAACAGTAAACTACATTCACCAGATTAAACCTTAAAACAAGATAAAGCAGGGAAAATTTGAATTAGTCCAGCGAAAATAAGTAGAATATCAAGTTCCCTTCCTCCCATTGCATGTTCGAGTAGATTAGATAACACTGGATGGTGTTCATTATGCTCTTCAATATGATCTAATATTGAATACCAAACATGCATTTACTGTCTTCCATTTTGGAGTGAAAGCTGGTCAGTAACTAATTTCTCAGTTTCAATATCCTGCCCACCCCATTTTCGCATGCGCTCCGTCGTCTGCTCCACCTGCAAATATAGTTTCACGATAGTAACTTTCATAAAGATAATTTTTGCAATCAAAAATGAAATCAAGAAATGCAGACTAACGATGTTTCAGGGGAAGGAGAGCAATGATGTATATGTTTTGCTGCATTGCAGAGTTGTCTCTCGAAAACAAATAATGCCGTAACACAAGGCCATAAAGTCTTGTGCATATTTATTAGCACAAGACTGGAAAATATAATGAACAAGATTTTGATGACTTCTTTTTTTTTTTAACAGATATTAGTACTCCATGTTAAACATACAGTAATGGCTAGATGGTTAAGGATTAAGAACAACCTCCTTGTTCCAGTTAGTTTTGTAAAGAACTATCAAGAGTAGCAATGTCTGCAAAGCTGTTCCGGCTATCATGCCACCCCAAAGTCCCTACAATAGTAAAATTATAAGCATTATCAACTAGACGGGTCTTAAGAAAAATGATAGGCTACAAATTGTCTTTGCGACTTTCAGTTAATTCAACGGAAAGAATTTAATAGTGAATCAGTCTGATTCAAAAACTAGTATTGAGATTCTTTAAAACATATTTCCCAGTATAATCTCGATTTTCATTGTTATACTAGTATTTGCTCCGTTATGTTCAATGGACGAGGAATATACCATTTATCACAGGCTGAATTTTGAGTTCGGGTCATTTACCTTCACACCCAGATTAGCAACATAACCAAGAACGTATCCGAGAGGCAGACCAAAAAGGTAATAACAGGCCAAGTTTATATAAGCAACTGGGGCTTGCCACCCACCTCCAACAGCAACACCTGTGAAATAGCCCCGGTGAAATTAAGGTCAGGGAAGGAAATGGCTGTGCACAATAAATATATAGACATTCAGTCAAGTACCCGATATCACTGGCTGAACACTATTCAGAACCATCGTTATTCCAAGAAGGCCCGAAAGGTGGGAAACAGCCCGTTGCATATCTTTGCTGCTGGTAAAGATAATGCTAAAGTGATTTCTTGCAGCTAGTATAATAATCATGCAAAGAATCCCAATCAAGAGTGACTGAAAAACTGTGATGTAGACGGAATATTTGGCTGCTCGTGGATGTCCTAAGCCAAGCTCATTCGAGACTCGTACACTGAAATACGAAGGATTGGGCTGTTAGAACTTTCGGATGGTGGATGACAACATCAGAGGAAATGCAACAAGATAAACAAGAATCAAGAATATAAACATTTTCTCCAGCTGTGAAATCTCAAGTTTATCAGGAATAAGGCTTAGTTTTCTTGTTTTGTACGTCATTTTAACCATACACGATTCCATATGTGATCTCAAAATTCACTTAGATTGAGAAGAAGACATAAATTGTCTACAGGATGTGGCCCTTTTACCTTATAGCAGCATTGATTCCAATGAAAATCATGGCTTCCCAACCATTGACGTTCATGCTGAAAGATAAACCATCAAAATTTTGTGAAAAATCTCAAAACTGGGAGAATGACAAAAACTAGTAAAACTTGTGTTCACGACATAGATCAAAAAATGATTGTTGCTCTTGACGAGCTCGAGTTTACGTGAGTAGACCGATCTATTCATTTAGTATCTGCCTCATTTACGATTCATAGTGATTTGATCACTTTATCAAGCTGACAACTAGACATGTGCTTCCTCGGACATGCAATGCATCAGCGTCAATGAAATATCCATATGCACAATCAGAATGCTAAATTTAATATCTTCCAGATGCTGGAAGAATGCTGCTGAAATCTTAAATCCTGATTTTTTAAGCATTGAGCATTAAAGGCCGTGCAGAAGCAATTGAATACTGAACAACTAAATGTATTTGATGAAACGACAAATATAGATTAATATATGTGGGGGCATGTTGAAAACCAAATTTATATAAATAAATGTGTATTCTAACAACTTAAGCTTCTGGACGAGCCAGTAACAAAAACGCATTAATACTCACCAAATGGAAAGGGCACCAACTGCAGTTACCGCGTTGTCAAGATGTCCGGTGAGGATAATGATGCTCATCATATACCAGATCTCAAGGCAAAGCATAACAGCAGAGGCAAGAGAGAGTCTAACAAATGCCCATATCTCCTTAAAGGCGGACCCTGAAAATCCCTTCCAACCATCCTTACACCAACCAACGACATACACAAACTGTGCAATCACGATGCCCCAACTCGTAAGATCAAATGCTGCGGCTGCACCAGATGCACCCCATTCAAATACATAAACAAAAAGCCAACAGATGAAAACTTGCAGGACTAGTGCAAGGAATGCGATCCATGCGAGCACAGAAACTTTGCTCTGAGCTTGAAGAAACTTCTGAGTCGGGAATGTGACAGCAAGCGAGAACAGCTGAGGGACGATCATCAGTGTGTATACTCCAGCCAGATTCGCAATTTCATCACTTTGTCCGAGGATCTTGAGGATTGGGGTTGCAAATATGTAGAGCGGCAAAAGGATACAGCAAGTGGCAAAAAGAATTATCATTGAGCGTTGCATGTAAACACCAAGCCTATGAACTTGTCCTGCACCAAATGCCTGCCCACATAGTGTCTCAAGGGCGCTCCCCATGCCAAGCTACGCATTGCAAACTAATATCAGACTCTGTCTAATTGATCAATATATGCAGTATATCTCAATGGCATGTTTGGTATGCTCAAGAAGAAAACACTAGCCATTATTATTATTGTCCATTATCTTGTGCAGTTTTGTATAGTACTACGTCCCAAATGTGTCATAATAGAAAAAACAGTTAGCCAAGCCTAGGATATAGTCTACATATCCTGGACAATCAAAAAACAAAAGACAAAACTATGAACTGAAGGCCTTAATTCACTAGTGAACTCCCTTCTAGTCTCTATTCTATATCACTTTATGCTCATTCCACTAGCAAAAAACTGCCATGGTACTTCGAAATAAAACCAATCACCTCTTTGGTGGGATTAAAATTATATTTTTAGTAAATTTTGATAAATGTTGATGAAATGTATGATTGAAAAGTTGTAGATCCCATAAAATGTGTTGTTAAAATTAATTGTTGAATTTGACTTAAATTAAAATTCGAATTTTAATTTCCACCAAACGTGGGCTAAATGAATTCAACGACGCTTTAATATCATGTGTGTTACTATAGCAAACAAAGGTTTGTGCATTCAAGTTTCTGCTGCTATCTATTTATAAGAAAATCGACATGGCCTTGAGGACAATATTGAATTTGGTCAATATGAGAAGGAAAGGGCGAAGAATAACTAATTCTTATTTTTGTTTTTTCAAGTTTTACCCATATTTAAACCTCCTCTAGGGGGACTAGAAGCAGATTCAAGTTTTGTCTAGACTTTAAAAGTTTCAAGTAAACAAGTCTTAAATTCACATTCTTTAATTAAAAAAAAAAAAAAGAAAATATTGTTTTGTCAAACTTGTGAAATGAAAACTATGTAATTTAAGACTTGTTTTTTTATAACCTTCTTCAACAAAAAGGTTGTAAAAATGTGGCTTATTCTTGCTCCATACAGACAATAAGTACATATATTAATGCCTTTGATGTAACACACTTGTTGAATTTCAAAGCACAAATTCAAGAAAATATTTGAGAACACTATATATTGCCAAAATAAAAACAAATTCCAAATCATCCCTAAAAGGGAGGGGGGGAGGAATCCAATAATTCCTTCGTCTATTTACAATCTACGCTCTCTGAAAAAGTCAACACCGACTTTGGCTTCTAAATTACTTCATAATTTAGACTAATTTTCCTTTTGCAGCAAAACTTAGAAAAACTCCCACCGATTTACTACAATTGTGTATAGAAATCTTCCACCGACAATAGCCCACTATATATATATATATATATATATATATATATATATATATAGTGGATAGGGAGAAGGAAATAATTAGTTCTTCCTTTTAATATAACAAATATTGTGAGAGTTGTGTGCTTGGTTTGTAAAAATATTTTGTTAATAAAATCATTTTCGTTTGGTTTTTAAATTCAACAATTTGGTATCAGAGTAATCTTGTCGGGGGCAAATTTTTGAGCTTCTAGAGTTCGTGCACAAAGGGAAATTGTGAAATTTCGATAAAACTTGCTTCATTATGAGGAGGTAAATCAGGTCACAATAAGCGACTTACAAGTGGTAAATAGAGTAAAGAAACTCAATAATCAAAACTATACCACATGACAGATTTGCATGAAGTCATATTTTCAAGGGCAGGATTTGTGGGAAGTAGTTGGAGGAAGTGATGTGATGCCACCATTGAAGGTCAGAGCTCTGAATAAGTGGAGAATCAAAGCAGGTAAGACTATATTCGTTATAAAGACGACAATTGAAGAAGAGCACATAAGAGACAAGACCACACTAAAGAAAGCATGAAACACTCTGACTACAATATTCTCAAAGAAAAATCACTTGAGATTACAATTGATGGAAAATGAACTACTCTCATTAAAGGGTGAACTACCAAACTCAAAAGAGGTGTTTGAAGAAAATTCTTGGTAGACACCGCAAAAGATTGAACTGCTAAATTTAAAGGAAACAGAAGACAAATTGAAAGAGGAGATCATTGAAGCAAAACATATGGTTAAGGAATCTAAAGATCTACAAGTGTTAAGTGATAAAAAGGAGTTTATTAGTGAGACACAAGTTTTTGAGCAAAATGATGTGGCCCATAAAATACTAACGGGGTTTGAAGGTGTCAACAAGAGATTGAAGTACGTAAAAGTTCACAATCCCAAATGAGAATGTTGGATAGACATTAGAAATCAAATATCAATTATCATAATTTAGAAATCAATGAAGAGGAAAATATGAGATGCTCAAATATATTTGAAATCATGGATGTGGTAAACGAAGGATCGATCACTTCAAAACTTGTCGAATTTGAGGCAGAGTTGGGAGTGACGAAAAAAGAAAAGAGTCAAAAGAAAAAGTCGATATTAAAGGGAAGAATTAAAAAAGTCAGCACCGACTTTGGCTTCTAAATTGCATCATAATCTACACTTTTCTTTTTGCAGCAAAGTCTAGAAGAAGTCTAGAATAATCCAAATTGGTAAGAATCATTTACAGCCACCGACTTACTCCAATTATGTAGAGAAATCTTCCATCGACAATAGCGTGCTATAAATATGCATGTTTAACCTCTACATTTTGTGTATGAGTGATGAAAGAAAGAGAGATACAAAGAGATGCATCTATGAGTGTGTGTGTGTGTGAGAGAGAGAGAGAGAGACAGAAAATAATTAGTGATCCCTTTATTATAAATATTGTGAGAGTTGTGTTTGGTTTGTAAAAATATTTTTGTTAATAAAATTATTTTCGTTTGGTCTTTAAACTCAAACGTTCATAATATCAGAAAATAACATTCTTGGAAAAACTCATAATTTGCCAAACAAAGAATTAAAACTCTAATACTAACCATGAATCCGAAAGAGAAGGTTGAAATGACTGAGAGAGCAATAGAAAATGCAGAGAGCTCAATATCTCCAAGATGGCCAACAAACATGGTGGTAACAGAATTGATTCCAAATTGGCAAAGAATTTGGAAGGCTATGGGACCTCCAATTCTCCACAGTTTGAGTGACTCGATACAGAAAATCTTCCACCATGCCTTGAGCCCTTTGACCGGCCTGTAGTCTCCGTCGTCTCCGATCAACTGGAGCTCACCATAGTTGTTCCGGTCGAGCAGCGGCGCCTCCATTCAATAAAGATGAAGTAGGTAAAAGAATGCAAGATTATTGACAGGGTTAATCTCTCACTCACTCTCTGTTTATATCTATATAGATGTAGGTATATATAACTGTGTACGTATAGGTGGTTAATAAGTCTTGCGAAGCTCAAGCAAGAGAGTGTAACCATAAAAGAAAAGTTCGGGTAAGTCTTACCTAACCGTAGGATGCAACCCCCATTTTTCAACTTCCCATCTTGGACTTGGGTTGGTAGAATGCGTGGTTGAGGCAGGGACGTACGTACGTGACATCTTCATTCAAATCATAGGATGCATTTAAAATTAAAAGAGCACTTGATTTTTATAAAAGTTATATTTTTTTAATTTCAAATTCAAAGAATAAACGACACAAATTTAATGTATAAACTATAAATATATTATAATCAAATAATAAGATTAAAATATTTTAAACAATCATTTAAGTATTACTTGCGGTGCGATTTTAGGAGCAAAAATATTAATTAAAATTGTATAATCTGGTTCTAGAATATTTTTTCAATCCATTTGATATAGTTGATCGAAATTAAGTCTTAATCAATCTTTATTTGAAAAAAATTATTTCTGCAAATGCAATTGTAATCGTGTGCTTAGCAAGATTTTGTAAGTAATATAAACATTTGATAAACAATTCTCTATTTTCTTCAAATAATGTATGACATCAATAGCTCTTTCTGCTTTTATTGATTGATAACACCTTAAGAAGGGTAATTTTGAAATAAATCATAGTTGCCAATGCGCATAAATTATGGGGAAATGGTATAAATTATATTTTGTATAAAAAAAGGGTCATTCTTGCAAAACTTTTCAAAAGTTATCATCATAATGCATTCATTGATTTGGGCTCCATTTGAAAATGACCCAATAATAAATTTAAAAATGCTGAATGAACAGCATTTTTACACATTAAGTTTGACAGCCCTCTCACATGGGTGTGGGGCCCGCGATTGTGGGCCACACCCTCTATGTGAGAGGGCTATCAAAACGTATGTGTAAAAAGACTGTAAGTGTAACATTTCTCTAATAAATTAGGGGTTCTCTATCACATAAATGATGGTGAGTGAGACTAATGATAAATAACATTATTCATTCACAAATAATATTGACAAAATGATCAAATCAAACCAGATTAAATCAGAATCAAACCAAATCAAGCGGTTTGATTCGATTCTACAAAAAAAAAGGTTCTTATTCTTTGAACTGAAAACCATTTGGTTCTGGTTCTGGTTTTGGTTCGGTTCTAGTTCTAAAACTAAGAACCAAACTCAATATTTAAGTTTTATTATTTTATATATATTTACAAATTAGTGAATCACAATTCACACCAAAAATCAATTGAAAATCGAGACAAAAGGTCATGTACTTTCGATTTCTCATTTCTCAATGTGGAGACCGATACCCTAATTTATTTTGGAGACACGAACCCTAATCAGTTTCTCATTCTCTTTCCTTTTCAATTTATACACTGATTCTCAAATGGAAATCAATAACTATCATCTGATGTCTACCGTCGAGCTCAACTACCTTCGTTGTGTGGATTTTTGAAACTGAAACTTGAACCTTGATTCTTCTTCTTCAAATGTTATTTTCTTTTTTTTTCCCAATCAATAACTAAATTAGAATCAAAACAAATCAACCCAAAACCGAATGGTTCAGTTTTGGTTTGGTTCCATATCTTAAAAAGAAAAACCACGTAGCTCCATTATTTAAAAAAATCATTAGTTCATAGGTCTATTCAATTCTCTGGAATCGAAATCAAATGGAACCATGTAAACCCCTAGCCCCTACTCATACAATTGAAACTCCTATTTCACAAATAACATTGTTACTCCTATAAATCACATGGTCCATAAGAGCGTATTGGGTATTGAGAATTTGATTTGAAAATAAACCTTCTTAAAAAAGTAGCTTAAACATTTATAAGTTAGTTATTTGTATTGGATCGTGACATTTTATCTTGAAAGATCAACTTTATTTAAAGGATTGATATAAACCTTAGTTTATCAGTAATTAATAAAATTTACTTCCCGTGTCTTTTTCTATAAGACTCGCTTTGTGTGAATTAATGTGTATTTTGCTGGAGATTGATTTCAAAGACTTCCTTCTTGTGAAGGTATTGAGAGCTGAATGAAGGGATGGTAAATTTCTTGTTTCCATCCTGACGAATAATCTGGTATTTTGTGATTGAACCTCGATCAATCTGGTATTATTTACATTCTTTGCGAGTTTTATGTTCGAATTTTCAATTTTTACATAAACGAAAACGAGAGACTCTATATCTTAGGTTAGCATAATGGTAAATTATTATTTGAAGGGGACTCAAATGAGTAAAAGTTAATATTTAGCAATTTTTACCGTGGTAGAAAATTGTTGAACTTGAACAAGTAAAATATATTTCCTTATGAATTAACTCATGAAGCTTGTATTTATGGAAAACTTTACTAGTCTAGTTTTACCCAAATAAGTTTTACTAAAAATTCCTAAAACTTCGATAGTTATTTCATTGTCACATAGCCTTCATACATATAAGATAGGGTTAGATGATAATTTCATAAAAAAAATTGGACTATATCTGTGTGTAGGGATTAAATATTATTTATGCAATGTGATAAATGTAGTGATTATATTCTAATTCAATACCCTAGATGTGAAAATATGCAGAATTCATTAGATAGGGAGAGAAAAAGATTGGCACATTTTGTATCATACATCTGACTTTACATATGGTAATGTTCGTCTATTACCAAAAACAAGTCATTTATGGATATTATTAGGAGGGCTGTGCAGATCCAGTTTAGTCTCACTTTCGCTCCATAAGGATCAAGATCAAATAAACGTGCATTCTCATTCCATCAAGCGAAGATATACTTCTAACTTTTCAAAAACTAATTATCCGGAGAGACTTTTGGGAATCCAAGAGGATCTTTTTTTTCTTCTTCTTCTTTTTTTCAACTCTTCTAATTTTTAAATGCTAAAATGAACTTGACTAGCATACATTCAAAATGGGTTTTTAATATTTCGATACAAAACTTATCTGTCACATTGCATAAACGTAAACACCGGTAGGCCATAATTGTATGGTTTGGTAGGAAAAAGGAAAAAAGAAAGTGGTGAAAATTTGTCGTATCTACTATCTACGCTTTTCTATTTTCTTTCATTCACCTGCCCTATTGTTCCTTCTTGTTCTCTCTTTTATGTGCCTTTCTTTTGGGAATGAGGGAATGTGGCTTAGCCTTATATCTTGAGAAATGTACCTTAAAAGAGCTTATTTATAATATTCAATTAGAGTTTTGTAATTGCACAATTTCTTTTCAACTTTATTATAGGTCAATTAGGTCTCGCTCTTATGTTAGCACTAGAGAGTCCTAATCGAACTCACAAGACCCTAATTTCACTAGATATTTCTAATTGGGTCAACTCTTGACCAATTAAAACACATTCATTAATCCCAACTATTCTACCAAAAAGTCAAAATTGTACTCTCAATTGGAGTGATAATTATGGTAATAAATCATGATTCAATAATAACATCCTCTTAGTGGTGTCAAATGAGCCGAGCGGCTCGTCGACTCGCCCCTCGGCTCGTACTGTTCACGCCCACGAGCCGCTCGGACTCGTCAAAAAATGAGCCCGAGCCCGAGCACGAGTTAAGGGGGCTGGTGGGCTAGACTCGGCTCGTCACTATTCACGAGCGGCTCGGGGAGCCGCTCGTGAGCAGGCTCGTGGGCTCGTCTAAACGAGCCTGCAGGCTCGTCTAAGACGAGCATGCATGGGCTCATCTAAGACGAGCCCATCAATTAAAAAAAATGTTTGGTGACCAGAACGGTTACTGAAAATCAGTGGACCGTTTGGTCACTTATTTTTAAAAAAAAAAAATTTTTTTTTTTTTTTTACTTTTCTTCAATTCTTCTCCTATAAATACCCAACCCATTACAACATTTTTTTCCCACCAAACTTTCATTATATACTCTCTACTCTACAATTTACAAATCATTATCAACAATATCATTCATTTATTCTATAATTCTCTTCTACATTTTTTTACATTATTATCTTCATTTTACAACTCATTTTATACACTAGCCACTAGTACATAATCTTCATTCACTTCTCATTTCTACATTTCTACATTCTATTTCAACAATTCACAAATGGATCCACGAGCATTTGTTGAAAACTTGTTCGGTATGGAAGGCGAAACACCTGCCCAAAATCAATTTGGGAATGAATTTGCC